TCGACATAGGGCTAAACAGTGCAGATGTACTAGTGTAGTGCGAAGTGAAGTGAGTTCTACTCTACCTTAAAACAAAGGGTGATACCAGTCATGCAGAAGTTGTTATGCCAGCTTACCTTCCCCTCCCCCGTCTTTATCTTTCCCTTCCCTTCCCCCGCCGTTATGTTCTAATTATTATAAAATTAATAGCGATATTATTCTACTAATATAGTAGTGTACAATACTGTTAACAAGTTATGTACTAATTATAATAAAATTAATAGCGATATTCCTGTTATATTTCGCGGTTTCTTTATAATAGTGATTAGCAAATTTATGCAGCATAGAGAAGGAAGAAATTGGACAAAATTTTATTGTGAATCTGACATGTAACCCTAAAAATGGGGGCCACTTAAAATTATTTCAACAATCCCATTGATAAAAAGAAATAAGACAAGCATTCTAGACAAATCAAATTTTGAGATTATCAAAGCTTCATTCAAAATCTATTCTAATAACTGACAGATCCTGCATGCAATTTCTTCAAGTATCTAATTATTATTTATTATACTTAAATAGTTTTTATGAATATCAACATTGAAATAAAGGATTACCTAAAGTTGGGTTGTTTTTAAGCGTTACAAGAAAATTTAATTTTTTTTTACAATAATAACTCATGGTAATCATGAGCGGTTGAACAATAAGATCATTGTAAAAAACCAAATTAAAAATCAGTTTTCTCAAACTATTTTTTAACGGGGAACAGAAAGAGAAAGCAAACTATGTTGCATTTAAAGGGGGTGTTCGTGGAAAGTTGAAGAAAGTAATGTGATGTTTATGCGAAGATGGTTTGACATAATCAGAGGGGTAAGAGTGCAAGTGAGCATCACCAAATATTTGCATAAACTATAATATTCTTAGTCTTACTTATTCATTTCTATATCAATCTATTTACTCAAAATATAAATGGATATAATTATACCTCAAAATATAGCTGATATATCTATTCAAGAAAAATCAAGAAAAAATAAAAATAATGTTGATTTTAGGACATGTTGAAATTGCAAAGGCAAGAATCAAAATTTTTAAAATTATTTTTAAAGAATTTTTTGTTTGTAATAAATGCATATCATCATCCGTTATGTATTTAAAGGGAGTGTGTACATTTTTTACCCTAGGCCCCAAAATGATCCAGATAGTAAAACGATTATGATGCAATTGCTTTTTGCTAATTTTTTCGACATATTAAAGGGACTGTAAGCGTTAATTCAAGTGACCCTTCATGCAAAAATGACAATACCCGATTTGCAACCCTTTAAACCATAATCTGATCAATAATTTTAAAGATTCTGTAGTTCTTCAAAAAGTGTTTATTTTTGTGAGTTTCTTTATTGCTTCTTATAACCAAGAAATGCACAAGTCACTTTCGCAGAGAAATCGCAAATGAAAATTAACAATTCAAAGAAACAACAACATAGATATCTAATATCTTTGCAAATTACGCTTTCAGTCCCTTTAAAAGCATTGGTACAACTGACATTAACGTCACCAGATTTAGACAACGGACTTCAAGTTTATGCCGAAGATAAAACATAATTAGAGACTAAATAAGAAAAAAATGTTTTTTAGCAAAAAAGTAACATTCCCTTTAAAAGTTTTCGAGAAAGCAAGAATAAGACCAGAACCAGAAGGAAAAAATATATATAAGCTGAGAATACACTTACTTCGGACACTAAACCATCAACTTGCTATACGGACCTCATTTTTTAATGTTCAAGTAGAATTATCAAAATTATTCAGATACTTTATTAAACGAGTTCAAGCAGACAATCTAAATTTTAGATTCAAAAATTTCCTTTTATTTTGATTTTTCCTTAAAAAGTTTAAACTTGAAATACCTTAAATGTCCACTAATGATAGGTAATTTCCATGTTCGTTTACAAAAATTATGTTCTTTGATTTGCATTGAAAATTTTACAAAAAATAAACTTTTAAACATTCTAAAATCCGAATAAAAATCAAGTGGTTTTTATGAGGTAAATAAATCAAAATAATTAAATTATCATGAAAATGTTTCCCGCGAATACTGAGCCCAAAAATTAAGACAGGGTATCGTTAAGGAAAACAGTTTTGAAACCCGGGTTTCACGAATGGGGTTTTGCAGTTTTGTGGATATCAATATTTTTGTAATGAAATATTATTTTGTTTAGTTTCTTCATATTCTCCATTTTTTATCGAATCTCTCAAATCAAAATCTACACAAATGTTAGACCCCAAAAAGTAAACTTGGGATTTTCGCTCAACGATACTCTTTCAAATTTCGGGCTCTGGTTGAACGGTACTTATGTACTGCAAGTGTACTGCAGATGTACTAGTGTAGTGCGAAGTGAAGTGAGTTCTACTCTACCTTAAAACAAAGGGTGATACCAGTCATGCAGAAGTTGTTATGCCAGCTTACCTTCCCCTCCCCCGTCTTTATCTTTCCCTTCCCTTCCCCCGCCTTTATTCTCCCCTCTCCCTCCTCCCCCGCCTTCCCTCCCTCTTTCACATTCTCCTGCTCTGCCTCAGAGTCAGATTTGATATTCAATTCTGAAAGAAAAAAGAAATGAACAAAAAATTGGTAATTAATCGAAGAAATGGAGGCACAACTGTTTTTTTTTATAAGTTCATAATAAGCCCACCCCCCTCTGCGAATAAAATATCTTACTTGAATGCACCGAGCGTTGAATTTCAGAAATAGTTTGACTGTATCCTGCAGAGGTGGCCGGAGCAGCTGACTGACTGACCGCGTGGCTAACTTTTACCTCGCCAGCCTTACTCAGCTGATAGGCGTAAATGCAATTACCGCTTAGAGTTCTCAGCTTCTGATCGTGCGTTGAAATTACTCTGATCTAAAAACAGTGGAACCCATTTTAACTGTGGAAAAGGAAGACGACATATAATAAGTTCAAACTTTGATGTTTCAGATGTTGTTGTAAAAGCAAATAATTAGTAGCTTGAAAATCTACATCTAAGTGAACTTGAGCAAACCTGTTTACACGCACTACACTTTTAATAATAGTAATAATAATAACAATAGTCGGAAGGGTTAAGGATGGCCGGGCAAGTTTTCCAATGGTTGTTTACAATAAAACCCGTTCCTTTGAGGTTTTTAATACGTCAGAGTAAAATGTACAAACCCCTATTCCCCAGCTTTAGTATATCACTTCTAGCCCAAAATAAACTTGAATTGTGTTATTTCTTGTGGTAAAAAAATAATAAAATAATATTTGCGGTCTACCTTTAATTCTTAAATATTCACTTGAACTACAATTTTATTTGAATATTCTACCTGAGCCTGAACAATATCAACTAGAACCATATTCTGTGCTGGAACCCCGGATAGAACAGCTAACCTAAGGATTGGATTTTTAAATTAAAATAAGATATTTTTACTAAATTCATGACTCAAATCCCTGTTTTAAGTTTTATGTTTTAACCTTACAGAACAAGATATAAACAATTTTTTTTTATCTTAATTTCCATTTTTGTGCGGTTCAGGGTTCGAATTGCAACTTTCAAAATTCCTTTAAAATTTTACTAATTTAAAAAAAAAATTTCGGGCTGATCCAGATAGAAAAAAGACCAAACGTTTAAGATTCAACATATCCGGATTCTCCGGATACAGAGCATTAAATAATTAAAAAAGAATTTAAAACAGTACCTTGGAGGTATAGCACTCCCCCTATCCTCCATATCCATTGCTAAACCATACTTGACAGGAGTAGATCCGTCCTGGAGTAACAACACAACCTGGACAGATATCTTTATATTCTAAACCATACTAGACTAACTATAACAGGAGTAGATCCGTCCTGCAGTAATAAAAAGGGTTTCCATCGAAAGAAAACGTTCGCGAAAAAATGCGAAAGTTCGCGAAAATTTTCTTCCTAACACACTTCGAAAAATGTATTGACGCAGAATTTATTCTGCAAAGTGTTCGAGGCTCAAATCTTACAATCCGTGTACATCCTAACTAACTTTTTCGCGAAATTTCGCGTTTTTAAAAAAACAATTTCCCCATTTGTCTGGAAACCCAAGTATTAACAAAACCGTAATAAATAATCTTATAATTTTTAATTATTACAATATAAGCAAATAATTCTAAAAAATCATTTAAATTTTAAAAGTTCAAATAAATAAAAACTTAATGAGACTGTAGGAACTGCAGGCGTACTAGAAGTGATCCATCCATATCTAAGTGGCATGCCAAATTCACAACAATACCCTTACAACTTACTTTTGAATGAATGAGATATTCATGCTTTTAGCTTAGAGAAATGATTTTTTTCACTGACAGGCATGGGTCTGACGTTACCCGCTAAAATAAGTTGAAATAAAGACGACTTCTATTCACCTCAATACTGACAGGCATGGGTCTGACGTTACCCGCTAAAATAAGTTGAAATAAAGACGACTTCTATTCACCTCAATACTGACAGGCATGGGTCTGACGTTACCCGCTAAAATAAGTTGAAATAAAGACGACTTCTATTTACCTCAATACTGACAGGCATGGGTCTGACGTTACCCGCTAAAATAAGTTGAAATAAAGACGACTTCTATTTACCTCAATACTGACACATCTCTCCATAGGCAGTGGAAGGGAAAGGTTGAAAAACGGATCAAATCTGACACTTTCATGCTGGCACACTTTACAGGTAACCTGGTAAAAAAAAGCCTTAAAAAATAATGTTTTTTAAAAACAATTTCTATTGTTAGCAAGACAAATCAAATAAGATCTAACATTCAGGGACATCATATTCCCACATTTCTAACTCGAAGTGAATTTACTAAATCAAGAACTTTAAGAACTTTAAGAAGATCCTACCTCACAAATGTAGTTTTGAAATAACTCAACATGAACAAGATTCAATTGGTTGTGACTTCCCATTTTTTAATTTTAAGTTATTTCAAGTGACCCTCAATGCAAAGATGGCAATGCCTGATTTACTAAGGTACCCTTAAAAGCTAGCCTTTGTCTGATCAAGAATACATGAGATATAACATGCATGATTTTTTCATTAAAAATGTTAATTTTCATTTGTGGTTTCTCTGGAAAGATGACTTGTGCACATCTTGCTTATTAGAAACGACAGTCAAATTTTCTATCAGATAAAGGTTTCAAGGGTACCGTTGTAAATCGGGCATTGACATATTTACATGGAGGGTCACTTTATAGTCCCTTTAAGGTGAGAGCTAAAAAAATACTCTCCTACCTTTGATTTGAGTTGACCGTGGAAAAGATCCACAATTATAGATTTGTTTCTAAGACTATGATTTTCCCAAGCTTCTTCAGATACTTCAAGATCAGCACGACCAGCACTATCCTTTAGTTCGACATAGGGCTAAACAGAAACAGTATTTTTAAAACTTTTGTCAAAAGTTCATGCTTTATGTGATTATCACATATTTTTAACTCCTAAAAATGATCTATCTAAAAAGAATAAAATGAATAATAACGATAATAATAATAATAAAAAAAAACTGTCGAAATCTGAACGAAATGCTTCATTTCTCCGATATTTTTTTAAACAGACAAAGGGCCGACCACATTTTGTAAATTCCAGGACTAGGGATCCGGGGTACTCAGTATTGTCTGATATTTGATTCAAGAATTTTACATGTAAAATTAGGTTGGCTAATTAATGCATGATGCAGAAAATTATTTCAAAGTGTAAAGCAAAATCTACATATTAATTAAGTTTTGTTAAATAAGAAATTCACTGTGTAAATACTAGGCTGTTATACATTTAATTACCCCCCCCCCCCTCTGTTTACCTTTTCAGTGACCCTGTTAAGATCCTCGTGTAGACCGTCGAGGAGAAAGACAAGGAGCTCCTGACTATCCTGTTGTTGGAAGGAGGCAAAGTTTGGTTCATACTTTCCCAGGGTCCATCTAAACATTGATTTTTTAAAATTTTTTCGTTAGTTTGTTCATTCATATTTACGTTTGTCGTTTACGCTTGTTCGCTTGTTAACTCATTCATTTATAATAATATGATTTATTTATCGGTCTTATTTGATTTCAATAAATAGTTTTATTTATTCATTGGTTTAGCGATTAATCTTAACTCCTCTTTTATTTATTGTGAACTGAGCTCGTTTATCCTTTATTTCATTGATTCCCATATTTCATTTTTCAATCTTTAATTCTAAAAGTTATTTTCACAAGTTTTTTTAATTACTAACAAACTAGATTGTTCTTTAACTTTCAAGATTAACTAAAAATTGTATAAAAATTACTATGACTAGCGTGTTAAATGTATTAAAGATATACCTAAGTTTAATTGGTGCTATGGTTCTCAGATCCCCTGACCAGATATCTCTAACCAGGTCTCCAAATCTTTTAGCAATATGACCCTGGAAAAAGTTCTTTTTTTCACAAAAAAATTCTTGGAAAACTTTATTTAAAATAAATAAACAATAATATTAATCCAAGTTAATGATGGTTGTTGTATTTTATAATAAATCTTGATAGTTCGCTTCTTTATTTATTGATTTTTAAAGGAACTGGAGACATACTTTTAAGTAACCATTAATTTAGAGTTGCATGTCCAGTTCACAGCGGTGACCTTTAAATATTTAAAGTGGAATATTTCCATTTGTAGGTTTTATATTAGTGATTTGTGAATTTCCGTCATGCAACAGAGAAGATAAATGAAATTGTCAGAATTCAAAACTATTCCAGATAAAAACGAAAATAACTTTCTCATTGTTGATCCAAGGGTACCTTACGAATCGAACATGCAACTCTTTTTTTTTTTAACTGCACTTTAATGGGTTTTTATTTACCTTCATTCCAAGAGGATTGTTTCTATTTAACTCGAACAGGTGACAATTCCGCTTGAAGTACTGGGACAGAATTTTAGTACTTGACATCACCTTAATCAAAAAACGATAAAATTGGCGCAAAAAATACTTATCACTGTTGCAATGCTAATTAGAAAACTCCGTCAATTATTCGAAAACTAAAATTTAACCTGTAACGCGGCATTCATATAACACGTGTTCCCTAGATTATTGAGTCCAGCTACTCCAGGCACTAATGGTTGACGGTCAGTCTGATGTCGCTTCTCTCCGCAGAGGTTGGAGATTTCCTCCGGCCAGGTACCATCTCTGTTCATGAAACAAGCTTGGTAAAAAAATATACAAATTTATAATAAAATAGTGAGGTATTAGATCCAAGTTCTTTAAATAATTGGGGGAGATATTTGGGAGTTCTTGTTTGAGTGATAAACGGCGTAAGACTCCCAATTGATTAACTACCAAAATCAAATTGTCAGATAAAGAATGTTAAACTATGTTTATGATAAAGTTTAAGGCTTGGTTTAGACAGTTTCCGGGTCGTGCGCTACGTCTGGGAGACGCGTTGTTTAAGTTGGCTTAGCACTAATACTAAAGCTTTGAAAATTAACTTTCAGGGAAGTGCCAAAATTTTAAAATCTTATGAACACTTTTAAGGATACCGTTGTGAGTCGGGTATGCCCCTTTAAACTGAAGGATGATTTTTAATCCCGTCTACAATCCCTTTAACCAATTCATTATCGGTGGAAATTTAAAGGGATTAATAAACATTTTAGAATTGATGCATAATTTTATGTTTTCATACAGTCGTCGTCGTATATATCTATACAATGACGACGATTTATTTCTTACACTTTTTAAAACGGCAGAGACACTTAAACATGTAATTTAGGAGAAGTTGTAAATTAAAAACTTCTCTTTGTTTACTTGAAAACTTGTAATTTGATAAATGCTTGTTTGGGATCAAAGTATTATTAAAAATTCGTCTTCACTAAATTGATATAATCGTCTAGGAACTGTACCTTGATCTTATCTCTGCAAGTAAACTATCTTCATCCATAAATCCTGCGTCTTCCAGAGTCATATTCTCATTGTCAAGCATACGCATACTACTCTCATCACTGAATATTTTAAACAAATGTACGTTGGAAATATTAATAATTTTTGGGGGAAACATTTTAAAGAAGTTGAGCTTAGCAATAAAAAAGTATTTTAAAGTAGAACAAAATTGATAAATAAAAGAATAATAAACTTATTTACTTGTATTTTAAATGTAAATAAATAATAAAAAAACAATCAAAGAATCTATTTTAGGATAAATATGAATAAAGAAATTTATATGAATAAAGAAACAATCGGAAAACTGAAGTATTAAAGAAATGAATAAATAAAAGAACAAAAATGAATAAATGAATAAATGAATAAATGTATAAATGAATAAATGAATAAATGAATAAATGAATAAATGAATAAATGATTAAGCCTACCCTCTGTATAACCAAAGTCTAAGGTCCTCCTGTTTGACCTGAAGTCTAGAACACAGGAACTCGGAGATTTGACCGACAGCAGTGCGCCGGGAAAAGGCGGCCTGGTACGCGTGGTATCTTCTAAAAAGATAATTATTTAACAACTGTTAGACTTGGGATCCTCTTTGATCAGTTCTTATTAACATGCCAAGGTTATTGGCTTTCAGTTAGTTCTGCGAAAATTAACGAGGTCTAGCATATTCAAAATTGTATTCCTTACTAGTTGGCTTTTATTACATTATAAAAAATTTAAGAATATATAGAGCGAACAAAACCCAAAATCGAATTACCCAATCGTTTTGTAAGAAATCATTATTTTCCAGAGCGTAAAAAAGGAAACTTTAAGAACATACTATTTCATAATTCTAGATAAAATTAACAGATTTCTAAAGAGTCTCAGGAAATATTGTGAGCCAAGGTCTTCCTCTGGCTTTATTTATCAGCGTCAATAATTACCTAATATCTGTGGAAGGTCCTGACGTCAATAATTACCTGACAACTGTGGGAGGTCCTGACATCAATAATTACCCAACAACTATGGGAGTCCTGACATATTTACCTGACAACTATAAAGGTCCTGACATCAATATTTACCTGACAACTATGGGAGGTCCTGACATCAATATTTACCTAACAACTGTGGGAGGTCCTGACATCAATAATTACAAGACAACTATGGGAGGTCCCGACATCAATAATTACCTGACAACTATGGGAGTCCTGACATATTTACCTGACAACTATAAAGGTCCTGACATCAATATTTACCTGACAACTATGGGAGGTCATGACATAAAAAAATACCTGACAACTGTGGGAGGTCCTGACCCTCCAACGAGACCATTATACCCTGCCGTACTCACCTAGGTAACGAAAAAGTTTTATAATAATCTATTTCCTAATAAAGCTGAGTTTGTTTAATTAATTTGTTTAAAGGTTCACTTTTAAATATTTATCTTAACATAAAAATAAATTAAAATATGAATTAAAATAATTATGATCATATTGATAATGATTGATAATGATTGATAGTGATAATGAAAATGATAATGATAGATAATGATAGATAATGATAATGATAATGATAATGATAATGATAATAATAATAATAATTATCATAATAATCTAATTTTAATAAGTGTAAGTAAAACCTACCCCGGCTTGCAGAGCCGCAGCGCTATATCCTCCCACCACCGCGGGAACATTGGCTTGTCGTTGTATAGTTTGATGCTTAAGTATTCGTATACTCAGGGGGCTTAACTCAAGCTCTATTCGTCCATCCTTAGTCCTTCATAACAATTTTTCAATTAATATAATAATTTTAACACTTGAATTTAGTAAAATCATAAAACAGCTCAGAAAATTGGAAGCAACTGGCTTGAATCCAAACAAATGTGTCAAGTGTACATGAACAGTGAACATTGAACCTTTGCGTACAATGAAAGATTTATCTCTTGATTAAATTATAAAAATGTTAAGAGTATCATTATCATTAGTGTAACTATTCACCTAATAACTTGTCTGGGAAGCGGTGGTGTTCCACCGTACATTTGCGCCAAAAACTTCCATAATCGTTCAGGAACAAACTCGTAATCCTTGCCTCGGCCCAACCTTGTCCCACTCTTGAGTTTGCCCCCCTCCCCTGTCAACACCGAGATCCCCCTGTAGGCCGGGGACTGGATCAGGGAGGTGTTATCAATGAGACCAGGACGGGAAGGAGTTGAGATCTTAGATTGGGAGACCTTCCGAGGAGTTGCAGGAGAACCACCTTTTAAAATATTTATAAAATTAGTTAAATATTATATTAGCCCTAATTATAAGTAAAAAATTATTTTCATTTTTTATATCATCGACTATCCTTCTGAATGTTCTTTTATATAAATATATGTTTTATTTTGTTTTCTACACAAATTGACAGTTTATCATAAGTCCTGCCCCGATTTGCCTCACGTTTTGATTTCGGAACTCGGTAGAATCACGGGAATATTTTTAGTTTGATTTTAAAAATTCTAAGTTTAGTAGAGTAAGTTTTAAAGGAAAAACTTAAGTTTCCAGGAAAAGCTGTGTACCCAAGCTAGACACATATTTTTACTGGTGTACAAACTACAGTTATTGTGCAACAGTAGATACAGTTGACTAGACCAGTCTTATATATTGAATCATTGATTACGCATAAATGCATCAAATAAATGCATTGTCTCCTACTCAAATTCAGAGAATTGAAAAACAAACACTTAAATATACAATAATTTAAACATGCTGAGACTGTTTTTTGTAAATTGTTGCTGATCAAACCAACTTCAAAACAGCGTACCAGGAGTATTCTTTATTGAGTTTAAACCATCTCCCTCCAGAGTAGTTGATCTAATGAACTTTCCCTGGTCAGGATTACTTTAACCAACCAACGAACCAATCAATGGAAGTGTGTACCATATCCTGTAAGTGCTTGCAAAGCACCCCCTTTATTTCTCCCCTAGTATCCACGCTTATCTGGCATACACATTGAATCCTAAAAAAATTCAGGCCAGATCTGAACCACTAGATCCCATATAGACCAGGGAAAGTGGCGGAGCTCAACCCTATCTTCAATGTGTTTCAGCCTACAGGTCGTAATACGTTGTCTGTAGGTTGATTGTTAATAATAATAATAAGATATATATATATATACCTGGAGTATTCTGCATTGAGTGTAAACCATCTCCCCCTGGAGTAGTTGAACTACTGGGAGTAGATATATATACCTGGAGTATTGTGCATTGAGTTTAAACCATCTCCCCCTGGAGTGGTTGGTCTACTAGGAGTGGATGGTCGTGAATCTACATCTAAGGGAGTATATCCTAAAATTAAAATAAAAGTGAAAAATGCCAAAAAGTTAAGAAAAAACTATTCAGAGCTTGGAACTAAAAATAGACGGAATGGGATCTTATCTTATCGATTTAGCTTAATTCATTCATTTCAAACCCCAACCTGTCTCTCGTCTCTCATTGGTCAACGTTCAATGATTGGACCAATAAGCTTAAATTCCACCAATGACAGAACAGTAAATAATCATATGCTTATACATTTTGAGATTTAAAATTCAAAAGTCAAGAACTTGGCTGAGGTTACACCATTTAGTGAATACATTTTTTTTCTCCTCTTAACCCCCCCACCCATTAGACCTTTAACTGTATCTAACCTGTTGCTATAATTTTGCTCGAATCTGCAGCTAAGCTAGAATTGAGTGAACTTTTCTTCCTAAACGTCCAGTATTAAATGTTTGACGTATTTTTATATTTTAAAAACAATTTTCATATTTTTCACATTATTCTATTTTCCAGATGTTACTTATTCATTTTATCAGATTGTAAATCGGAAAAGTACATTGATCTAGATTCCAACTTAAATTCATTCTAGGAAATCTAAATTAATTCTAGGAAATCTAAATTCATTCTAGGAAATCTAAATTTATTCTAGGAGATCTAAATTCAATCTAGGAAATCTAATTTTATTTTAGGAAATCTAAATTCATTCTAGAAAATCTAATTTTATTTTAGGAAATCTAAATTCATTCAAGGAAATCTAAATTCATTCAAGGAAATCTAAATTCTTTCTAGGAAATCTAAATTCATTCTAGAAAATCTAACTTTATTCTAGGAAGTCATTTCTAAAAATCCTGCCTAGAGAGGGAGCCAAGAGACGAGGTGCTCCCAACACTCTTCAAGTTTGAGGCTGGAGGGGAGGAGGAGGAGGTGGCGGCGGGGAGCTCCACCCAGTTCACGTAGGAGTGCCAGGATGTCCACCAACTCATAGGGAGCAGATACCAAACTTGACCTGGAACTAATCCAGCCTGCTCCTCTCTGTAAAACATTACCCTTTAAACTGCGGAATCAGAAGACAACTCTTTGACTTCAAATATGTTTTTAAAATTTTTATCTTTTTGTTTTGTCTCACGCGGAACAAATCAAATCTAATAAATGAATTAAGAAACTAATTTTACGAATGGCTTAAAGACCTACCTGTAGAGCCAGCCTCTCACAATCTCCCCCTCTTCCTTCCTTGAGGCCGGTCGGAGGCCAAGAACCACGTGACACAATTGGAACAGTAAACTCGCAAACTCCTAAACCAAACCAAACCAAACCAATAAGCGCCATTTTTATTTTAGAAATCTAAACTGAACGAGATTGTGATTTCAATGAATACAATCAAATTACACATTTTAGAAACCAAACTTTAAGTTTCAGTGTAACTAGGTGGGTTCCTAAATAATTTGTAATCTCATGAACGTTCATAAAAACTGGTCGATACAAAATACAAATCTAAGAAACAGGACTTTCTTGAGCGTACCATTAAGCATTTAGAAATTTGTCCTTCGATAAACAAAAAACCGAAACCGAGCTTGAAGTAAACTTGATTTTAGCATTTTTTGAATTCTTTTACTCTTATATAATACCTGTGGAAGATGAGCTGTTACAGTCCAAACCAGAAAATCCTCCAAGGAAAGAAATTCATTTTCTCCAAGTAGTTCTACCATCAGTCGTTCAACTGAAATGTGATATAATAATTTAAAGAAAAGATGGAAGATTTTAAACTGTATCTGGTGTCGTTTTTTATACAACTTTTTGTAAAAATTCCATATAGTAACAACTTTTCATCTTCTTAAAAATGCAAAGTCTAAAATATACTAAAAGAAAATGTTCAAAAAAATTGAAGTTTAAAAATCGGAAAATATCACAATTTCACCATAAGTTAGGCAAACACGTGAAATAAAAAATTTGCGTTATCATTAAGGCTGAACTCATTTAGACTTACCTGTGACTTTTGATTCTTCTGCTTTAACTATCTTCTCTTCAGCTTGAACTTTTGCATCATCAAGAGCATCTCCAGAATGTTTTAGGTCATCATCAGAAGAGGTGGGAGGGGCTGGGGAAGATTTTCTCTGAAGAAATGATGATTTTCTTTGTACCGTGGAGGATCTGCTCTGCGAGGGGGAGGATCTGGTTTGATCTGAATTAACTGGGACGGATTTGTTCGAACTGAGAGAGGATTGGTTACTGCCTAGCTTGGAGTTGCTCTCTAAGCTGAAATTCCGTTGCACTGAATTAGATTTTGATTTGAAGGGCGTACTTTTGCTTTGACCTAGATTTGTTCTTTGTTGGTTTGGAGAAACACTGTTTTGGTCCCAGGAGCTTGATTGATTACTGAGATTACTAGGTGTGCGCTGATGACTTGGTCTATGACTGGTTTGCTCTGATATCTCCAGCATAGAGAACAGCATAAACTTTAACTCCTCTTCATTCAGTTTACCGTCCCCGTCCGTGTCGAAGATTTTAAAGCAAACTAAAAATGGTAAAATTAAGAAGCATAACATTTTTTTAAAACATTGTTTATTTATATAGTTTACTAACTATTTGTCTCAAAATAAGTTAACTATCAAGATATTAAATATTCTACTAAATGTGTAGTTTTAGGACAAAATTTAAAGTTTTAATTAAAACCGTATTGTGTGAATAAACAATGATTGAATAGACGTCAAATAAAATATTTAGTATATCAAGGTGTGGTCGTCTTCAACATCAGCTAAAATGCCATGTTAACTTACATTTCTGCCGCTCTAGCTCAGGTCCACGGCACGCGGCAGAAACTCCGCAACTTAACTCTTTAAAATCTAGATGTCCATCCTAGATACACAAATCATTATATCTAGATGCCCATGCCTAACCTAGATAAAAAGATTGAAAAAAATATATTAATAAATATATTGCATTTACGACACTTAAAGTGATATTTCAATTTTCAGTCCGAAAAAATATTTGTACCGGATGAAAATGGTGATAAAATTTGTGCAGTATTATGTGTTCCTTTTTTCTTCTTATATTTTGTTTTATAATATGTTTGTCACATTTGATACCATCGACATTATGCAGTATTGCTACAAAATCACATTGAGGACTTAATAATATATTATAGAGGATGTGAGGTGCCAGGTATCGTCTTCCACAATATTTGCATTAAACAAATATTAAAATATGCAAATACAAAAGTACAAATAACGCTGTATATTTAATTCTATCTTTATAGTAAAGCTCTTTGCCTATATTTATATGTTAGCTATATAGCTGGCTAAACGGCTGAACCAACTGGGCAAATTTTTGTTTTAAACTCGATTTTTTCTTCTTTAAAATTCTAAATCTATTTTTTCTTTAGTGTTTTCAAATTTCAACGGGCAACACGCCAGAGACTTTAGCTCTTCACTCATATATATAAATATTGAAATTTTTTTGAGGAAAACGGATTGGTATCCCGGGGATGACATAGGCTAAAAATTGTTTGGTCAATTTTTGAAATTCCACGGACAATGTCTGGCACTTCAGCTAAAATCATGATTTTAAACCAAGCGTGGGTAAACTGCGGGAATAACTTAGACTATGGAATAATAATAAAATCTTGGGCAATGCCGGGTCCTCCAGCTAGTTAGTAATTATAACAAAAATGTGATGAAGAAAGTAATTACGTGAATACACGACTCATGTAAATACAAAGATAAGAAATGATGACTTCATTAATATTATCGATTATTTCTTATTCACTGTTCATATTATTAAATTAATATCATTTTTAAAACTGCTAACTGTGAAATATGAAGAAGACTATCAGATTGGAACTTATGTTTCTAATAGTCAAATGAACAGAGACGACTTATTGGGGGAGGGGATTGGGGGAGGTGTCCCCCCCTGGAAAATTGGAGGACGTTCCTCTCCCTAGAAAACTGGGGTGATGTCCCCCCTCCTGGTAAAATTAAGAGCACAAAAAGAGAGACCAAGCACTTTCTAGCCCTTAAACTTTCATTTTTAAGAATAGATTTTTAAAGAATCACCATAATTAAACTTTTTTATACAAATCTAAATCTTACTTCCACATTTTCCACCTTCCAAAAGNCGCGCAATACTTTGATTATTTTCCCCCACTCTGTTAAATATCATAAGCAGCCCCTTAATGAACATGAAAAACAGCAATTGTGCAGTTGTACACTGTACACTGTACAGTGTACACAGACTTATTCCACTTAATAAGATGGTTATCAATCTACTGGTAAACCTATTTTCTTAATAACATACTAGCACCCGGCGTTGCCAAGGTTTATATTATTATTCATACTAGTCATGATGACTCCCGCCGTTAGCAAAAGTGCCCGGCGTTGCCCGTGGAATTTCAAAAATTTTCGTAAAAAATAAAGCCTTCGTCACCCCCGGGTACCCATGGGCTCCCTCAAAAAAATGTCAGCCAATTTGATCCAGTCGTTTGGCCAGCTATAGTGATCATATATCTAGATATATATATATATATAAATATATATACAAGCGAAGAGCTGTAATATATAGATAAATAAGATTTCGTCTTCTCATTCCAAAGTTTTGGGGGTCTCATTGTAACATAACGTGGAAATCAAGGAAAACTAACAAAAACAGATTACAAAAACAGATATGAACCTGGTTCTCGTCGAAGGCCTTGAAGAGCCCCGGGACCAGAGCCTGGGGTAAGGGTGGAGACACAAGAGGAGTAATGATTGAGATATCTATCCTTCCAGAACTAGAGTTTCCAACTAGACTCCAGAACCTTTTCTCTAGTTCTATAACCTCAACCTCGCTCACTTAACAAACATTGGAGTTGGTTTAACCCCAGTAAAAGAGATAAAAGAGCAGAAGCCCAAGGAAGTTACGTGCGCATGCCGCGTTGAATTACAAGACAGAGAGAGTCTGTTCTAGCCCCGGCGCTCGTCTACCTAGCCTGTCCTAGCCGCGACACTCGGCCCCTAGCCTGTCCTAGAAGCGGCGCTCGGCCTAACTTTCCTGTCCTAGAAGCAGCGCTGGCCCAAAAAGTGTCTTAACCTAATCTTACCCTAAAACATATACTAATCTTTCTCTTCCTTAAAATTCAATGCGGCAAGTGTACACAACTTCCTAGGGCAACTGCCCAGTTAAAGGGTCTGAAAACATAATTTTAAGTGACCCTTCAGTAATCGAGTGGCACGACCGATTCACACTGGTATCCTTTGCTTTGTCTGATCAAAAACAAATTGTATAATGTATATCTACTTTTTTGTTTTTTAAGAACTGTTTGTTTTTATTTGTGGGAGTAAAAAAGTGACCACAAATAAAAAAGTGGAGAAATTAATCAAATTTAACATTTTTCAAGCAAAAATAACGACGCTATCTTCCACATAATTGATCAGATTAAAGTTTCAAGATATGCCTCTTTCTTTAAATGGAGGGTCACATAATTTATGTTCAATAACATAAAAACTACAAATTGGTCTAAAGCTGTTCAATGAAACTGATTATTTAACTCAAACTCAAATTTAAAGCGCATCCTGATGTCAAACTTTCAAACATACGACGTTTAGATCGAGCAGTTTAAAATTGAAAATTCTACGACATCAGCGTAATTTGAGAACAATGAATACTTTTCTTCGTTGACAATTCCAGTAAGTTTATGCAGATTGAAAAAGTATAAATGTTTGAATTTTCATATTTGGTTATCAACAACCTATACAGAACTTTAAGCATATATACTATATAGGGTATGAAGAACATTATTAGAAATAACTTTAAAAATAATTTGACAAAGAATAATTAAAGATTTAAAAAGATATTTCTAAATTCTCATTAGACTAAGAATTAAATTTTAATGGTGAATTTTTAATTCAATTTCCAAAAGATTTCAAATCATTCTCTTTTATTACTTACAGTGAGTAACTCCAGCCAGTGTTTGGTAAAAGGTTGGAGTCTCCAGATGACAAATTAAGGAAAGCGCATTATTCGGAGATAGAATCCATCGAGCAGTTTCCAAATTCTAAATAATAGATTTATATCAAATCATTTGGATTGAGTTCAAAAAGTGAGTTCTAATTTCTATTCAAATTTAGAAATATTATTTCTGCTATTTTTGTTTAATAGGTTTTTTGTTGATCAATCATTGTTGACAAGTTATTGAAAGAGTGTGATGTATTTTCTTTTGGCCAAAATAAATTCCCGAAGCATTTCTGTATTTTTGAAAAGCAATAAAAGATTAAAAAATGGCAACAAAAAATTATATAAAAATGGCTTCTTCCCTGATCAAAATTGTGACTGGACTCATGCACATAAAACTTGCTTGGGAACCCAGCGTTGACTGGAAACTAAACTTCTCTATATGTCAACCCACTATTTTCAGGATTTTTAAACCAAGTTAAGTACATGCTCCCTAATCAAAATTTGATGCAAATTAGTCAAGGGGTTCATGAGTTATGAGAGAACATACAAACAAATTACAGATTACTACTTTATGCAATACACTATGCATAAAGACGTAATTAATGTATAATTAATGTAACTTTTATCATATTTTTTTTATGGTCAATTGCTTATTTTCTTGATTTTCATCCTTTTTGCATTAACCTGAGGTTACCTGGTAATTCTTTTCAATCCAGATTGAGAACGTTTCAAAGTTAACCTTATCCCCCTGGGAGAACAAGGAGTAAATATGGGCGGGGCTTAACTCCCCCTCCCACTCAGAGCACTGGCGGAGACAGGAACTCTTCTCTATATACATCCCATCATCAGCTATCACTCCATACAAAACTAAAATATAATACAAAACTAAAATATAATACAAAACTAAAATATAATACAAAATTAAAATATAATACAAAACTAGAATTAAATCCAAAACTACAATGACTGAAGGTGAAATTTCAAGAAATTTCATTTTAAAAAATTGGCATGATTGATTGACAACGGGTAACCAGAATGAACAATCAGCAACTAATCAGCAACTCTTAAAAATCATCCTCATAACAACTCTATACGAGTTCCTGAGGATTAATCAACAATAAACAATATTTGTGGTTGACTGTTAAGTGCGGATATTATCAATTAAGAATATTGCGAGTATTTAGCATATTTCAAGACAAAAATACGAAAAAATCTTTCTCTTGGTTGATCTGATTGAGTGCTTAAAAGTACCATAGTAAATCGGACATGAATTACTTTATAAATTAGGTCGACAGTTTCTAAAATGATAAAAAATTTTATTAATGTTTCAAATCGAAGTTTCAAGTTATCAAAATCAAATAAAAAACGTGTGTTAAATAATTCTTAATTTTGTTTGGGATAGTTTTCCTATATTTGAATATTTTCCTTGTTCAATTGTTTTGTGGTCTAATTCCAATAATTGTAGAAAAGAGATATTCGGTGATGCATCAATACTGATGAAGTTTGGTCCGGGCTGCAAATGCAAACGTACACAATAATAATATCACCATCACCACTGACGTTACCGATCTTTATGTACAATTAAACTGGTGTTAATTGCGTGAAAATTTATTTTCTATGCAGTCTGAAATATAAAAAAATCCGCGAGTTTTGGACATCATGGCGCTTAGAACACCTTTGAGCAGTGAAACAGTCATGGTTGTAATCTTAAATTCCAATTTTTATTGTATATTTTCAAATATGTAAACAAACATTTTAATAATTACTTACATTTAATTTTCTCCTCCCTGGTTCCCCTGGATAGAAGAACGAGAAGAGCGAGTAGTTCCCTAAACTGAACTCCTCTGCCCCCTGCCCCACCCACCAGATTATATATTCGCTCCCCCAGAGAGGCGGGGATACCCTCACCAAGCACATTCGAGATAAAAGTCTAAACAAAGAATTTTTAAAATGTTGAATTATATTTTTAAACCCCTTTTTTTAACGTTTCAAATTACTTATTTATGGAGTTGATTTTAGAAGAGAAAATACCTTTTTGTAGTATGTATTTCTCGATGTGTATTCTGACATTGTACAGTACTATCTGTTCCGTACAGTGTACAGTGTACAACGTACAATTATAAACATCTTTAGCGTCAGCGAACAATACAACAAAAATCAAGACAAAACCGCAATACAATAAATTTCATCCAAAAAAAATGTTTAAATCAGATACAAAATTTAATATGAATTAGTAATGGAACTTCTTCTGAATGCATCCTGTAATCTTCGCTTCTCTACTTCACTCACTAATATCAATCAATTAAATCAATCATTGATTCATCAATCAATAAGAAGTTGGTTTATTTAAATATTTGATCAATCAAAAGGTTAAGTTATTGATTCATTATTGCATTTGATCAATCAATTGGTAAAGTAAGTGATTTTTTTAGATATATGTGATCAATCAATAATTCAAGTAACTTTTGTTTATTTGTATATTTGATCAATCAATTGATTGAGTAATTGGTTCATTAATAAACTTGATCAATTACAGATTGTGTGATCAAAAACTTATGGATTTTACCCGATGCAATTAATTTTCAACTTTTTATAAAATTTTATTCACTCAAATTCATTCAGGGGATTTAAATTTTCAAAATTTTCAAAAATTTTCAAAAATTGAAATATTTGACAATAAAAAAAAAGTTTTTTCATCCTTTTTTGATACTTTTTACCAAATATTTATTTATTTTCCACAATTCAACAAATAAAACCGTTAAAAAGAAGTGGGAAATATTATGCAAGAAACTGTATATTTGTGTTTGTTTGTTTGTGGTTTAATTTATATACCTCTCTTGAGCGCCTCGTCGTACGACAAGGGAAACTGTTTAGACTCCCTTCCTCCCATTTCTTTCAGGTTACATTCACCATTCTGAAACTACACATGTACAATTGTACAACATCACGCAGTACACATCCGTCACGTGTACATCAATATATGAGAGGTCTGTGCAATCTTTGTAAAGGGAAGGTTCGCTGTTTTTAAGAAGGGGTAAAAACAATTAGGACAAGCTTTTCATGTGGATTTGACTTCATTATACTTCAGATCAAAATGCCCAGAAGCAGATCAGGAGCAATTTAAATCTGTCATCCTTTACCCTTTACAGAATAACTTTGATCCCTCCCTTTTTACAATTACAAAATTTCCGAGTGATCACAATACGTCTCATTAAAAGTATAAAGCAGTAGATACCGTTTTTACAAAAGTTTACAATTCATAAAAAAACCATTTCTGAGAAATTATTGGTAGTAATAAAAAAACGTACGAGAAAAAGTGTCAAATATTCTAAAATATAAGGTGTACTAATGTCATGGAAAAATTATTCTTAATAAGGCAAGAAAAAAAATACATTAATTCATATAATTTTGGATAAAAAACGTAAAGCACCAGCGTAAAGCATAAATTTTTAAAATAGTTTAAATTTAATAAATATTTTTAAAGCAAAATTTAACAGATTTAAAATATAAATGACTGTTGACAATAAACATTAACAACGAATAACACAATTCCCAAAAGGTGAAAAAAATTTAGAATTCATTATTAACAAATTTTAAAATAGATATTATATTTTGATTTAATTTATATTCTTGTTTTCTTTAGACGAATATATCAAATATATTTCAATATTTGAAATATTAAAATGTCTGGCAGAATAAAAAGTCGAACTTTTCTCCACCGGTTATTTTGTTTGGACGAATTTTTTTCAAATCACAAATAGTCACATTTCACTATCACATGTATACAATATACATTACCACTAGAAATATCAAACATATATCAATATCAGTATATCCAATGGCGGCCAAAGTATTAAAAATGCCACCAACACATTCTAACTGGCTTCCAAGATTATACAAAATTATCGCTAAAAATATTTAATTGGCTTTAACATATTTTCAAGATGGCGTCCACAAATATTCAGGGTGGTTTCCACAAATATCCAAACGCCTGCCACAAATATTCAAAAGGCTACCACAAAAATTCAAAATGGCTGCCACAAATATTCAAAAGAACTACGGCAGATGTCCAAATGCCTGCCACAAATATTTACAAGCAAACTTACAATTTGATGTTAATTGGTTTATCTTGGGTAACATATATACATTTATGACGATCATTAGAAACAATAATTTTGGCCGCCCTGAAACGAAATCTAATGTTAAATTCATTGAAGCATATCAAACTATTTCCTAAGTTGGTTTATAAAGAGCTGGCAAGGAATGGCATTAAAAGGGATTGATGAAATGGATTGCTTAAGAAATGAAATATTTCTCTATAAACAAGAAAAAGGAATTAAGCCAATTAAGCCCATTAAGATTTATTTTATAGTAAAATACGGCCTTCAGAAGTAAATGCGATGTTTGAACTAGTCTTGAAACCAGCCAAATGTTTACAGATAAAAATAGTTAAAAAAGTGCTTACAAATAATAAGCCGATTTCCCGTTTTCAAAGTTAATGGGGTTTATCTAAAACTTGTCTCAAAAAATATAGTATGTACCATTTAAGTTTCTAAATTTCCTTTAACCCTAGAGAACTCAATTTAATGAAATGGAATCTTATTCAGCAGCCTCAAGATTTAAACAAAAAAGATTAAAAATTTCGAATAGCCTTAACTGCTTAAAGCATTATTTTTGTTGATTCTAATTGAATAGCAAAATAAAATTAACTTAATCCATAGATCCTCCATAGGTAACTCTGGTTTAAATTTGACTAACTCTGATATGAGTAAGTATATAAAGGTGTAGGTAAGGAGGCCTGGTGTAAACTGTCCTATGCTCAATCTAAGTATTGTATGTAAATATGTAAAGAGTACACAACTAGACAATCTTCTCTCTTGCATTGTTACACAGAGACATTCTTAATCCGTCTCTACAGCTGCTGGTTCATCCCACCGCCGAACATGTTGGGCTGCAGGTTGCTGATGTTTAGGATCTCCTGAATGTTGAACTCTGCGATATCGTAATCCATGCCGTTGACGTCCTCCGGGTACCCGCTACCCTCGTACCCTATCTCGTAGGGGTTGAGGGGCGTCGTAGGGTTCGAGTATTCATTGGCAGGCCCTGGATCATATACAGAAATTGAGATTTAAATAAAAGGAACAAACAAAAAGAGATCGTATCATTTACAAGATAAAATAAATAAGAAAGTGTTATTAAGCAGTGAATTTTCATTTCTTTGGATAAATTTTGCTCGTCTGTTTGTTTTGTATCCAATAAACCAAACGGCTGAACTTATCCGGCCCGATCTTTCCTCTCACATGATCAACACAAATGTAATTTCACTTTTAAAATTTTTGGGAATTCTACCAATCAAAAAGGGAAGATCCCTGAAAGCTTAAATCGTTATTTTTTTTAAGTGCGTAACCGAAACAATAAAAAGTCCTACTTGAGCTCAAAAGCCCTACTTGAGCTCAAAAGTTGCCACTCAAATTGTATATATTACCTTGTACATGAGTTTTGAGACTATGTGGTACATATCCATGAGAGGTTTGGCCGATTTCCTTGCTTGAAGCAGAGAATTTTTTAAACACATCACAGGGTATGTTTGGGTACAATGCAGTTAGATTCTCCTTAAACATAATAAACTGTACAGTTAACACTGATATTCTACAGTGTACATTTGTGATTGAAACAACGTGTACTGTGCAATGTATATTGTTCACTGATATTGTGAACTGTACATTGTGCACTGTGCATCACTATACGATGTGTACTTTTTATTGTGCGCTGTACAATGTTCATTGATCATTGTACATTTAGCACTGTAAATTGAATTTTTACATATGTACATTAAACATACAGTGTAATTTTACAATTTACATTGTACATTAATAGTAATTGTGTACTTCAACTTTGAAGATATAGAAGAAGAAAAAATATGACTTAACAATTTAAGAAGGATTAAAAACAGATTTAAAATAAATTAGGGAAATTTGACAGTTTTATTCAGAAGCCAGAGATGGAATTTAACGCACCGAATACCAGCTGGAACTAGAGATAAAATAGTAGTTTTTAATTTCTAGTTTCTACTTTAAACACTCTTATCTTCATAACGTTCACGCGATAATAACTAGGAATAGATAATTCTTTATTGAATTCATTAATTAAACAAGGAACCGTTTGAATTCAAGAATCAATTAATAACATTTTTCAGGGATTAAAATTTTCAAGTTTCTTGGTGGGTTAGAAACAAATGTGGAGATTTTTAATAATGTATAATTATTTTTTTGTTATATTCTTTCCTCCTCATACTTTAAAAGAAAGTAAAAAAAAATTCTATTAATTGATATTTTAAAAATGACACCCATCAGGAAATTCTCATGTTCAATGGGACCCCCTCTAAAGTGTATATGGCTGTGAAGGGTTTTGGAAAATGCATACTCTTGAATCAGTATAAAAAGAAATTAAAACTGTGCATTATGTCTCGGCCAAAACAGATATCAAGTTATGCATTCACAACATTTTCTATCCCCCTACTTACATACACAAAAAAATAACAAATCATTAAACTCCAGAAAAAAAGAACCAATAGAAAATTTACTTTTTTAAAACTTAAATAGATTTAAATCGATTTTCAAATATAAATTCCTGTTTAACCCTCCAAAATATGAACTATACTCCCCAATGTTAAGCCCTAGCTTGAGATCTACTATACTCCCCTATGTTAAGCCCTATCATATCATATCATATCATACAGCTAGGGATGCGTCCAACAGCTCCTTGACCTACAAGGGGTATGCCATCACAATCCCCTATAGGTGAAGGCTTTTCAGCCTGACATAATTTAAATTCTAACGTCGGACACACGACCAAATTTGAGCCATGTCACCGGTCCGATTCCTTTTGTCAGCTAGTTGCCAAACAGTTGTATTAAATACATATTTCAATGCTGAGAGAGAGAATCTCCCTCCCGGTTAACTGAGTGTTTAAAAAGGGTATTCATGAGTTGAAACGAATAATTTTAAAATGAATTGATAAATAAGCTTATAATAAGTTATTGAGTTATAGAGAAGTGATTCATAAAATGAACCGACAAATAGATTATATGATAAATTTAAAATTATATTATATAGAGAGTGGGATTCATTAGATGAATCGACAAAGAAATTCTGTGAAGGGATTCATAAAATGAATCGACAAAGAAATTATGTGAAGGGATTTATAAAATGAATCGACAAAGAAATTATATGAAGGGATTCATAAAATGAATCGACAAAGAAATTATGTGAAGGGATTCATAAAATGAATCGACAAAGAAATTATATGAAGGGATTCATAAAATGAATCGACAAAGAAATTATATGAAGGGATTCATAAAATGAATCGACAAAATAATTATATGAACTGATTCATAAAATGAATCGATCGTTTTCTACATACCTTAACTTCACATCTAACTTGAGATCTAATATACTCCCCTATGTTAAGCCCTAACTTGAGATCTACTATGCTCCCCTATGTTAAGCCCTAGCTTGAGATCTACTATACTCCCCTATGTTAAGCCATAACTTGAGATCTACTATACTCCCCTATGTTAAGCCCTAGCTTGAGATCTACTATACTCCCCTATGTTAAGCCATAACTTGAGATCTACTATACTCCCCATATGTTAAGCCCTAACTTGAGATCTACTATACTCCCCTATGTTAAGCCATAACTTGAGATCTACTATACTCCCCTATGTTAAGCCCTAACTTGAGATCTACTATACTCCCCTATGTTAAGCCCTACCTTGATATCTACTATGCTCCCCTATGTTAAGCCCTACCTTGAGATCTACTATACTCCCCTATGTTAAGCCCTACCTTGAGATCTACTATACTCCCCTATGTTAAGCCCCAACTTAAGATCTACTATACTCCCCTATGTTAAGCCCTACCTTGAGATCTACTATGCTCCCCTATGTTAAGCCCTACCTTGAGATCAAATATTGTGTCTGCAATTGATCTTTGAGAAAGATCTTTGTGAACGAATGGAGCCACGAAGAGAACGTTCTTCCCTCCCATCTGATCCTGAACAAGGTGATTTTTATAACAATTCGTTAAATCCATACAAACCATCCAGTTATACAGTCTTAAAGGTTTTAAGCTTAGATTATTAAGTTTTTATCACCAACAAATTATATTCTTATAATTAGATACAGGGTTACCCACAGCGGATGAGACTTCAGAGACGATTGTACGGAATTTATACTATCTGTTTCCGTATATTCACTATTCCTAGAAACTGTAAGCTTGTTTGTTTCTTTGTCATTATTAAGGAAGAAACCCTAGTTCAACCATGGGATTGTCACATTTTAAGAGATATCGGTCGTCTTTACAATCTCATTCTTTTTGGGTAAACCCTGTAGCTGGTAAAACGATGTGTTTTTATATGCTTCTGAAAAATCATAAAAATACGAACAGCTTTTCTTTCCCCAAATTAACAGAAATGGTAGGTTATACAAACAAACCTGGCACACATAGGCTATTGTTACTCCTCCTAGCTCGGAGTCTGAATACCTAAACAGAAAATAAATAAAATCGACGAAAAAGATTGAAAATTAAAAAATCTACGTCTAATCTTCTTAATTTATGTCAAAATACCTTAACAGAAATGTTCCATGAGGACATCCTAACAGTAGTTCTTCAGCTTTCTGTTTTGATACGAACCCCATTATCAGTCCGTCATTCCAGGGCCCTAAATAGATAGATATGATCAGTTCGTTATTCCAGGGCAATAAATAATTAGATATTTATCAGTCCGTCATTCCAGGATTCTAAACAAATATGCACAAATCAGTCCACCATTACAGTTCCCTAAAGGGATAAATATCATAAGTCCGTTATTCCAGGGCCCTAAAAAACAAATACATTTATCAGTCCACCATTCCAGGGCCCTGAAAATATATGTTATCAGTCCGTCATTCCAGTGCCCTAAATGAATAGAAATATAAATCAGTCCACCATTAGAAGGCCCTAAATAGATAGATATTATCAAATCAATTAATAACTAGAGGGGAGAACACTCTAGAATAATGACCAAAGATTAAAAGGGATTTTGAAGTATCTCGAAATTCAAGTTTCTAAAGTAATTAATATGATAAAATGCTTGAAATACTTTTTAAAAAATACCCCTAGTCCTGACATTGTGCTTTCTAAATTTGAAATTACCAAAATTAGAAGCATTTGTGTTTATTTTTTAATACAAGGACTAGGAATATTTTGTAATCAATGAATGAAGAGTAATGAAGTACTGACGAATGAATGCCGCAAATTATTTCAACGATCAAGGAGAATCTTCAATTCATCAACTGTTTAGTGAAACACTGTTTACCTCTCATATCTGAGGAGGTTAGACACATGACCCTGTAGAACCACTCCCAGAAGGTGAAGTTCCTGTCAGGTAAAGGTTCACGACAGAACTGAGACCAGGAGATCACCAGGTTCTTGATCTCATCCCGACCAAGGTTCGGGTTCCTGACAAAACCAGCTCAATTCATTACTGTCTCTTTCAACAAAATTGATTCGTCGGATATAAAAAATGGTAAAATCTCAGAAATCTAGCCTAGAGCCACTCCTACTCTTAAAAATTTGAAATGGAAAGAATGTAAGGAGNTTTTATCTATAGAAAGATTAGGTATTCCATTAAAGAAAAAAGGGAATCCGGGGAAAAATGAAAATAAAAACTAAATGAAAATTATAAAAAAATAAAAAAGTTAGTTTTTAATTTGTAATATGAATGATTGGAAAAGTTTCCTAAAAGCTTTTGTTGCCAGAAAATAGAAGTTCTCTTCTGTTAGATTCTGATTTGTTTTACAAGCATCAGTCCACTTAGAGTTCAGGGCCTCAGCCATTTGGAACCAGGGAACCTAAATACAAAAAGAAATCAAAAACTTTTTAACAATGCATTGTATTTTATTTATGTCATGCTTTCGGAAACTTCCTGATTCTAGAATTTGTAACGTCTAGATTATCAATTGAAATCTAAGAAACCCAGGGAATACAGTAGCAGCAACAAATCCAGTGATTGGCCTTCTTTTGACCTCTAACGACCTATAACGACCTCTAGCAACCTCTGACCTCAAAATGGAAAATGACTTTATGCACATCAAGGGAAAGCTAGGAACCAAGGCAATACATTAATAGCAAATAATTCATTGTTTGACCTTCTAATGACCTCTAACGACCTCTAATGACCTTCAAATTGAATTTATTTTAAATATAGCTTTAAGCATATCAAACGAAAGCTAAGAACCCAGGCAATACAGAAGCTGCAAAGAATTCAGTGTTTGAACTCCTAATGACTTCTAATGACCTCTATCGACCCCTAATGACCTCTAATGACCTCCAAGTTGAATCCAGGTAATACATTAAAGGCAAAAAATTCAGTGCTTAATCTTCTATCGACCTCTAACGACCTTTAATGACCACTAAAGCCCTCCAAAATTTTGAGATCATTAGAGGTTGTAAGAGGTCGTTAGAGATAAATAGAAGGCCAACCATTGGATTTGTTGCTGCTACTGTATTCTCTGGGTTCCTAGCTTTCGATTGATATGCATAAAGCCACAGATTAATCATTTTGTATTCGTCGAGGTCATTAAACGTTTAGAGGTCATTGGAGGTCATTAATATTTTGCTTTTTTTCTTGATTTATATCGAAATCACCATTTCTTTAAGTCTAAGTTTTAGGCAAAGTTTGGCAACTCCTGTTAGTACATTTCGATTTTTTGCAGATCCAAAAGTGATTTCAATTAAGGAAACAAAACGAAAATCTTTCGCAAATTTAACAATTTTATTTCGCACATTTACACAATGTTACACTGACCTTGTCAGGGACCACGAAGGGCCTTCTACCCCACTCTGCGAAGGCGTTGTCCCATGTTATGGTTGCGAGGGCCTGGGGCTCCTGGTTCCCGTGGACGATTACCACGACGGGGAGGGAGAGGGTGAACACCTGGAAGTTCAATTCACCAACCTGCATCAAAACATCAATTTATAAGAAACACATTTTTTCAACAAATCAGAGGAATTGAAGAGACAATCAATGAATTCACAAGTGAGCCTACAATTCAAAGAAATGAAGTTAACAGAATTAAACAATAAATAGAAAGGAATAAAGTTCCTGTAAAAGATATCTTTAAAAGTGTAACAAAGGGTACAGGGCTAGAATAAGACTTGAGTAATTACTTTCTAGACATTTTTTTTGAGAAACTAAGACTGAATGCTGCGTAAAATGAATGTTTAAAATCTCTGTACGATTTGATTCTCGGATTTATAAAAAAATTAATCAAGCGTTCGCTACTAATAAATCCCTCCCAGTGATAATTAAATTTACTTCTTTCATGTAAATAAAATTAAGTTTTCAAGAATATTTTGAGGGGGTTTAAACCAAGTCCGTATACTAAGGGGAATCAAATTGACCCCTTTTTAAACTCAATAACATCCAAAAAACACTTTCTGTTTCTCCTAGATTCTGTTAACTTTAACTTTTTTACCTCCCAAGAACCTCTCGAGAGCCGCAAAAAAATGCATCCCCCTCCCCCACCAAAAAAAATTTAAAATATTTGTTTGCATTAAATGAAATGAATACTTAGCACTGGTGGTGTTTTGATATTTGAATTCTGAGTAATAATTTGCATGTAATTTTATACTTTAGTTTTCAATATGAGAATTTAAACTCAGGTCTACTTCAACATTTTTCATCAAATAGAAGTAAAAATAATTAATTTATGATCGATTATCAAAAAAATTAACAAAAAATATTTTTTTTAAATTACAGCGTTTTTCTTACAATTAAATAATGCCTTCTTGTAATATAATGATCAATCATGCTAAATATACTTAATAAAAATATATTTCTCATTAAAAGTTCGGAGAAAACTACAAAATGAAACATTTCAATTTTCCGCTTCGCTATTTTACAAAAATAAGTACAGACATATTTTTAAATAAATATTTACGGTAATTTAATTAAAACAAAATCAAAAAGTAAGTTACAATTTATAATAAAAGATGTAATAAAATTATATTTGATTAATCAATAATTAAGTGTTAAAACATGTGTGTAAACGTATGTATTTTATGTGTATTGTGTATTGTGTAATGTCCAATTAAAACTTATGGAGATATAACAAATAATTCACTCTTGGTTCAGTAGGTAACATACAGCGAGACAACATCAAACTGTGGAATAGGAAGACGACTGCTGGATTCCAATGAAGATAAAACACAGCAAATGTGCAGTGTGCACAGACCCATTTCACTTAATACAATAAGTTGATTGTAAAACTACTGGTTAAACTACAGGGTGTCCCACGTCATATTAGATCGGTCTAAATTACGATTTTCGGGACTAATTAGAAAATTTTAGAAGGATGAATTGTTTTGAAAAATTGAGTAAGGCTAATATAAGAATTTTCTTGTGGAAAATGCTAGGTTTTTCGAGTATTTTTAGGTTTATTTTGGCGCTAAAATTTGGAGATAATCCCTCAGATTAAATAATTTGACACAGAAGGTCATATTTCGCTTAGATTTTTTAAGATCTTTAAAATACAAGGTCAATGCTAGAGAACACGTACTTTATTAATTTACAAAATAAAAGACAGAAAAAAATGTTGGTAATGGGGGATATTTATATTTATGGTTTTGTCTACAACACCAGATAATTGATAAAATGTTTTATATTTTTAGAAATAGTTATAGAACAGATAACAGCATGTTTTTAACAAAATCCAGCATACAATTTATTTATATACATGTATCCTATTAGAGGGGATTAGACTAGAGTATTATGATAAGTTTAATTTATTAAGTTACATGTATTTCATGTATTGTATGTATAATATTTGCAATGAGTGTTAGGTTTGCTTAAATTAAGTATAAACGCATTAAATGTTTTTATATATTTATGGCGTATTAATTAGTTATGGCAATCCGAATTTTGAAATTAAGCGGAAAATATATTTACTCCCCCCCCCCTCCCCCAACCCGCCACCTTTTTTCTACCATGTTTCCCTACCGTGAAATCTGTCCAGAAGCACACCGAGAACTTCTCCTCCATGACGCTCTCCGTCCCCCGCTTCTCAGTGCGCCGGATCCTTTTCAGCTGCAGGTTCCTTCATGGGCGCGTACACCAGTTCAATATCAGAACTTGGAATGTTTTTAAGACAAATCATGTTGTTTCCCATCTGAGTTGAGTCTTTGCCACAAACTCAAATCTTCAAATCCCTATACCTGATGTCGAAAACCTTTGATATTTCAAACTAAAATTATTTGATATGTCTATCACAATTCATATTTTAAAATGTCTTAGGTCTAAGACATCGGGTTGCAAAGATTAAGAGATTAGACAATCGGAGTGTGTGGCAAAAGTTCCTTTCCTTTTCAACCTCTAGGTCTTTAAAAAGGTAAAGTATGACCTCCCCCCGCTAGTTACGCCTTAGACTGGTCAGTTAATAATAAAATAAAATGCCACAATTTTTGTACCATATTGCCCTTTTATTAATCGATAAAAAAAGTCTAGTTTTCAACAGCTCAGAAACTATGACGCCCTATCCTCCATTCTTCTTCTCTGCTTTGTCCTCGCAGGTTGAGACTTCAGCAACGACATTTGTTTTTAATCTTCCTGACAGAAACAATCTCAAGTACTGACGAGGATCAACCCAGACAGAAATATATTTTCAATAAATGTGGAACTAAAATCTACTTTTTTTTACTCTACCGAGGTTTGGTTCATCACCATCACCGAATTTTAAACTAAAGACTCTTATCAAGGCAGGAGACCCAAAACCTTAGCCCCGTCATAACCTAGGTCGTCATTAACGTCTGTTCATTTATGATTAACTTTTAAACTGACTGATGTGATTTCCTAAATGTGACTGAAACTTGTCTTGTACCAACATGATATTCCATATTTCCGTTCCCGTTCAGTATCTCACCACTACACACATTCAAACAAACAAGTTAGTACATGCCCTGTACACATTATTTAGTACAGAATTTTAGAAAGTACAGTTCTTTTAGTACAAGTACAAAGAGTACATTTAAAACAATTTAAAAACAGTACAATAATAACTAATAGAGTTCTTATGAAGCTTAGAATAGGTATGTTTATTGAATAGATGGATGAAAATAGTGGATAAAATTGGATGAAATTCAAGGAAAATGGATAAAAATTGGATAAAATGTAAGGAAAATGAAGGAAAATGAAGGAAAATGAAGAAAAATGAAGGAAAATGGAGAAAAATGGAGAAAAATGAAGGAAAATGAAGGAAAATGAAGGAAAATGAAGCAAAATGAAGCAAAATTAAGCAAAATTAAGTAAAATGAAGGAAAATGAAGGGAAATATAGGAAAATGAAGGAAACTGAAGGAAACTGAAGGTAAGTGAAGGAAAATCAAGGAAAATGAAGAAAAATGAAGGAAAATGAAGGAAAATGAAGGAAAATGAAGGAAAATGAAGGAAAATGAAGGAAAATNCCCCTGTAAACCACGAGATACTATTCATACCTGTGACTCTGATATAATGCTGACCGACACGTTAGGACTCGCCATGTGAACATTAAGCTGACCTCCAACTAGGAGACGAACTGTTGCTGTAAACCTAGTGTTGGTTTTCATGACCTGCAGTACATTAATGTTATCATTATCATTGTCATTCTTATCTGCATTAATAATAGTATTATTATTTTTATCAATTTCCTTATTATCCTCATTATTACAATCAGAAATATTAATATTGTTTAAATCATTTATCAAATCATGTATCTTATCATCATCATTATTAGTGTTGTCAGTATTATTATTATTTTTGTTCATGTTAGCATTACCAGCATCATTATTGTCCGTTTTAGTATTATTATCATTTATAGTATTATTTCTACTAGAAATAGTTATTCTACGTGTCATTTATAAAAGCAATATTGATAAAATTACCAGTTGTATTGAGTTTGGACTAAAAAAGAGGATAAAATTAACTAAATACTGACCTGTGGAGGCTGTTTTTCAATAATAAATGTTCCAGTAACTAGACCAGTCAGCAATCCAGTTACACCTAGAACAAGTTAGGTAAAAGAGGTCAGGTAGAAGAGGTCTGTTAGGAAAGGTCATGTGGAAGAGGTCAGGTAGAATAGGTCAGGTAGAATAGGTCAGGTAGAATAGGTCTGGTAGAATAGGTCTGGTAGAATAGGTCAGGTAGAAGAGGTCAGGTAGGATAGGTCGGCTCAAAGAGGTCCGCTAAAGAGGTCCGGTAGAAGAGGTCAAGTAAAAGAGTTCAGGTACAAGAGAGTGCTGTCAGGTAGGAGAGGTCGGGAAGGTATAATAGGTCGAGAAACAGAGGTCAGGTTAATGAGGTATGGTAAAAGAAGTCATATAGAAGAGGTCTTATAGAAGAGGTCTTATAGAAGAGGTCAGGTAGAAGAGGTCGGGTAGTAGAGGTCGGATAGAAGAGGTCAGGTAGAACAAGTCATTTATATCAGGTTGGGAAGTAGAGGTCAGGTAGAAGAGGTCGAATAAAAGAGGTCAGGCAGTCGAGGTCAGGTACAAGAGGTCGGATAAAAGGGGTCAGGTAGAATAGGCCAGGAAGGAGAGGTCAGTTAGACGAGGTCAAGTAGAAGAGGTCGGATAAAAGAGGTCAGGTAGAAGAGATCAGGTAAAATAGGTCGGGAAGGAGAGGTCAGGTAGACAATGTCAGACAGAACAGGTCGGATAAAAGAGGTTGAAATAAAAGAGGTCAGGTAGAAGAGGTCGGTTAAAAGAGGTGAGGTAGAAGAGGTCACGTAGAATAGGTCGGGAGGAGAGGTTAGGTAGACGAGGTCAGGTAGAAGAGGTCGGATAAAAGAGGTCAGGTAGAAAATGTCGGGTAGGATGGTCGGGAAGGAGAGGTCGGGAAGGAGAGGTCAGGTAGAAGAGGTCAGGTAGAAGAGGTAAGGTAGAATAAGTCGGGAAGGAGAGGTTTGGTTAAAGAGGTTGAATGAATAAATAAATGAATAAATGAATGAATATATGAATGAATAAATACATGAATAAATGAACCAATGTATCATTGAATTAATGAATAGGTGAATGAATAAATAAATGAATAAATTAATGAATATATGAATGAATAAATACATGAATAGGTGAACCAATGTATCATTGAATTAATGAATATTTGAATGAATAAATACATGAATAAATGAACCAATGTATCATTGAATTAATGAATATGTGAATGAATAAATGAATGAAGTACCTGCTAGTATTTCAGGAATAATACTTTGTGTTTGGACTCCAGGAAATTTGGCGATCTGACCCCTGAAATAATTCTTAGAAATTATCTTAATTGAAATAAAATAAAATATCAATATTTCTGATTTTTTCAACCAAATAATGTTTTCCCTAGAAAATTTTTTTTTAAATTCAAACTTTTTATTCCCTAAGCGATTAAAACGTGGTTGTTAAAATTACTTTATTGTTTTGAGGTCAAACATTCAATGATTTATTCTCAAAGGGATTATTCACTAGACAAAAAATAAGGTATTAAACAGTGGTTAGCGATTTTATCAATACAATGAGAAGACTATTTCACTTTTGCTTTATATCAAGCTGTTAAACATCATGGATATTTAAAACCCTTCTCTTTGATTAAATTTGTAAACTAGTAATTTGAAAAAAAGCTTGTTAACAATTACAATTTAAATAAAAATGTCGTCTTCATTGTATTGTTATAATTGCCTACCACTGTTGTATTTTGAAAAGGTGACCAAATATTTTAACTAAAATCCGTTAATAACAAAAGGATAATTTTACCGAAGATATTCTACGAGAAC